GGAACTTGAAAAAAAAGGAAAAAAGTCAATCCTAAGACAAGTCGCGAACCATGGAACTACGATTTCGCGACAGTGCGTTATCCACTTGAGCTATTACGACCATTATTATATTGTTAAAATTTACCTTCTTATATTGTAGCAGTTTTTCATTGCCTGAAAACGGGGATAAAACTACATTTTATGAAAATCGTTGGAGCCGTCTCCGAGATATATATATATATATATATATATATACAAGAATATATTTTTGTTTTACTAAAAGCTTTTGTTGAGTGCTTCGAAATTCAAACTTCCTGGTTATTATCACAAACTAAATCGTGTTATAGATTTGTTGTTATCTCTTGTTTGTGAATTATAGTTACTTACGTGTTGGTTGTGAAATGTCTAATTATTGTAATAATTGGTACAGTTACAAATCATCAGTGTTATTAGTTTTGAGTGAATAGGCATGTATCAGTATAATTATGTTGCTTCAAATAGGTACTTCTGTTTTGATAAAAAATTCAATAGTGTAATGTAATAAAATAAAACTGCGTTATATTGTAATCAATGTTGACATAATTTATTTCCCAAAGTTATAAATCAATTAAATAGTTTCCGCCAACAAATATAAATTTTATTTTTACAACAATCGTACATAGCGTTTTGTAGTTCTGCCTACCCAATCTACACATACACAAAAATTAAAAACTTGTTTTTTTACATACACGCCATCTAGTGTTCCAGCTTCGTAAACGTAGGGATACGTCTGTGTGTGTAAACGACCCTATATTCAATGACAGATTTTATAATCAAAATTAATGTCGAATTGGGTGGATTTTGAGGCAATGATATGACCCATTTCAATAAAATGTAATATCCGATAACCGCTAAGTCTACTCTTACGACTTAATAATTTTCCAATTACACAAAACTCCAAATAAACTAAAAATGTTGACTTCAGCGCCATCTTGCGGGAGAATGGCTGGGAACAGGCCGTAGGTTTCACCTTAATATCAATATTATCAAAATTGTATGAGAAAGTTATGCAAAAAAGACTTTTAGATTTTCTTAATAAGTTTAAAATATTAAAACCAGAGCAACACGGTTTTCAAAAAGGTAAATCCACGACACTGGCAACTTTTTCCCATATAAAAATCGTAACCGATTATATAAACAGAAAAATACCAATTTCTGCAGTGTACCTTGATATGAGCAAAGCATTTGATAGTGTTGGTCATGATATTCTCTTAAAAAAATTGAAGCTTACGGTATAAGAAAGAGGGCCAGCTTACTCCTGAATACATAGCTATCTAAAAGATAGAAAACAATGTGTTGAAATACAACAAAAAGATAAAAAACTGAAAGAAATTTTAAAATTTAAATCTTCGTACTTATGAAATGATTACGGAGTGCCACAAGGGAGTGTTTTAGGTCCTTTACTGTTTTTAATTTACATAAATGACCTACCCAATTACATCAAACATAATACAATATTATTTGCTGACGACATTTCTATTTTAATACCGAAGATAAATTTTCATTCTAGTAATAAAGAATATGAAAATGAAATAAATAATACTATTGTAAATGTTGTTAAATGGATAAAAAACAATAATCTAAGTATAAATCTATCTATAACTAAATTTATGCAATTCTACAATGTTAAAAGTAAACCGCAATTACTTGATATTAAGTATAATGGTGAAAAAATTACTGCTACTGAATGTACCACATTTTTAGGTATTAATTTAGACAAACATTGTAATTGGAAAAATCACATAGATAAAGTTTGTTCTAAAATATTTAAATTTAATTTTGCTCTGCGAAGGCTAACTTCAATCTCGTCAAGAAATACTTCCCTTAAAGCATATCATGCATATGTCGCTGCTGTATTAAGATATGGTCTCATATTATGGGGAAACTCGACTGATGTAAACCGTGCTTTTATAGCGCAAAAACGCTGTATACGAGCAATTTGTGGTGTCGGGCCACTAGTTTCTTGCAAACCACTAGTTAAAGAATTGGGTTCTTACGCTACCATCCACGTACATTTTTGAACTTTCAATATTCGTAAAAAAGTATCCTCATTTTTTTACTAGGTTAAAAGATACAGTAACATATAATACCAGATACCCGGATAAAATTATTTTACCTTCATTAAAAACTAGCCTGTACTCAAAAAATTGCTATGTGATGGCTATTCAAGTGTTTAATAAAATCCCAAATGAAATAAGGCAACTAGATTACAATCGATTTAGACGTAATTTATTAAAGTGGCTTTTAGAAAAACAATTTTATTCGGTAAATGAACTGCTAAAAATAAAAGAACGTTTCTATTGACTGTTAAACTCTGTTTATTATTTGATTGTGTTTTAAAGGATTAATATTAAAATTTTAAAGTGATGCACGTTTAATTTTACTTAAATTTTGTATATTGTAACAATAAGTTGATTAGTAAATAAGTTTTCATATACCAAAATTGGTGAAATATGTGATACATTATTATTTTATAAGAACATCTTTGTACCATATTTCTTCTGAATAAATTTATTATTTATTTATTTTATTTATTATTTCTAGATTCATCCAAGTACTCCGTCAACCGGAAAGTACTAGAACATTCACGATTACGTAAAGTTAAAAATATGTCTCAGGAATGTGTGTAAAAAATCCATACTCGTAAGAAAGCGAGAAGGAATTTTATGCGATTGTAACTTTTTTAACAAAAAAATAAGATTGTATGGTGCAACTGTACATTTTAGTTTTGTAAGTGATGACCTTTTAAATTTTTATATCTTTGTGCAATTTACGTTTTCACCAAACAAACCGGACGCGTTGAATATCATTTTTAATTTTATATCAATATCATTATTCAGTTTAAATAAAATCATTTTTTCTCTTACATCAGCCATCGTTTAAAGCTACACACCAGGTTCCCTACATCTTAATGGTCCTTCGAACTCCGTAGCGGGAACTAAAATTCGGGTCTAAAAGTCGGGGGCAGAATGTGGGGTAAGGAGTGAAATCCAAATTTATTTTTCCTTTTCAATATATTTACCTGCTACCCTAATACATTTTCGGATCTTTCAATTAACTTATGTATACCCTCAAAAAAATTATTTGTATTTGTCTAAAATATACACCGAAACTGCTTCCTTCACTTCTTCATTACTTAAAAACTTTTTCCCACGTAGTTCTTTTTTTAAGTTTGGAAATAGATAATAATCACTGGGGGCTAGGTCAGGACTATAGGGTGGGTGTGGCAAAATTTCGAAGCCCACCTTCTGCAGGGCAGCCATCGCAACATGGCGCTTGTGAACAGGCGCGAGAACACTCCACACGCTGTCGCTTTTGAGGCGGCGTGAGCGTTCTAGGCACCCCTCTTGCGCTGACTTTAGTCATGCCAAGATGGTCATGAAGAATTTTGAAAATGGTTGTATCTGATACTCCAACCATTTCTGCGAGCTGTTTTTTCTTTAGGCGGGCATTTTCTAATATTAATTTTTCGACTTTTTGAATAATTTCCGAAGTGGTCACCTCGATCGCTCTTCATGGCCGTGGGTCGTCTTCAAGTGACTCTCTGCCTTGTTTAAAAAGGGTATGCCCCACTTGTATATACTAACTATAGTTTATAGTTTTACATGGACAAGAGTCTCCGTAAACGGATGAAATCTCTTTCAGTATAGTCGCACGGCACGGAACTCGATTTTCTCCATACTTCACAATTTTTCCCGATTGACTTGTTTGGTTGACAATAACTCAAAGCCTAATGATCTAATTACAATAAAACCCGGTATTTATACTAATAATAAGTTGCTCAATTAGCATATAATTCAGCGACATCCCCACTTATAAACTACCTACCCATTCCGTAAACTTAGAAACGCACCCTCGTAGTGACATGTATATCTTGCTAATAAGTGTGCAGCCTTTTATCTTTTTTTTATAAAGAAAAGGGGGCAAACGAGCATGCGGCTCACCCGAAATGCAGGTGCGTTGCTGGTCCTTTAGAAAGGAGTAAGCTCTTTTCTTGAAGGTCTCCAAGTCGTATCGGTTGGTGGTAAACTATTCCAGAGAGGTCGTACTCGGAAGAAAACTCCTTGTGAAACGTACAGTTGTGGACCGCTAAGCATCCAGATGGTGTGTATGGTATCGGGACGTTTGCCGCGTAGTGCGTTCACGAAATTTGGCGGCTGGGATTAATCTGAACAATTCCTCACTCCCCGTGGTATATGCCAAAGAAAATGCAAAGAGATGCAATATCTCTTCGCAGCGCCCATGAATCGAATCGATCGGAAAGCACTGCGTCGTCAACCGTTCGAGCCGCTCTGCGTTGGATGCGGTCAAGTGGAAAGAACTGGCATTGGAGAGCCCCAGCCCAGAGATGGGAACAGTATTCCATGTGCGGCCGAACCTGCACCTTGTAAAGTTGCCCTAATTGATGAGATACGACAATGGGGTTCGTTATAGCGGTAAACGCGCAAACCTAAGAGCTTCTGAAGTTTAAACCGGACTAGAGTCGTCTCTAATCCGTGATTTTGTTTATTATAAAATCGATTTAAGTTTGTTCCGATATTAGATGATATATTTTTGAGAAATACCAGCATCGTCGGTGTCAAAAACATCACCAGTGCTACAAACAGTACCGGCACCACCTCGAGCCGCATATTTTCCAAAATTTGTGGTAATTCTCAGCGCATTGTAAAGAGTTTTGGTTACCTTCGACCCGTATTAGCCACACACAGTATTATTACATGACGAGGGTGCTGCCGTGTAGTGGCGGTGTAGGAATATCCACGCCATTGCGTGCTGCGGGTGTCGCAAGAGGCGACAGAGAGAAAGGAACTAGCAGGTGGGCAGCAGCGTCTTCCTGATAACAACTACTGCCATCCTCAAGAAACGCCAACTGCGGCCAGCTGACCAGGCGATCTATCGGTGAGGCCACGTTCAGCAGTCAACTTTTATAGGGTACATTGACAACGATGATGAGGGCGTGCAACGGAGGGAGGGCAGCGTACCGGCGGGGGAGCTCTCGCGCAGTGCGGTCCACAGGCTGCGGCGCAGCGCGCTGGTGGCGCTGGGCAGCAGCACGCCGTCATCCGTGCGGTAGTCCAGCGGGCCACGCAGCTCGTCCGGCAGCACCAGCGCGCGCGCCGCCCCCGCCCCCGGCCCCGCGCCCAGCACGCTCTCGTCGTGCCGCAGCCGGCCGCCCCCCGCCCGCCTCCTCTGCGCCGCGCACCACGTCCGGCCGCGCCTCGCTGCGCATCTGCTCCCACAGCGCCTGCACCGCACGCCACACGCATGCACACACACACACACACACATATCTATACCACTAGACAACCACTGTTCCATGGATACTACAATATATTCTATACATAATTGTTGTTGAAGTACATAATAAATTATATTAGCAGTTTTCATGCCAATATTAGTTTGTAGCTTGTGTTGGTGTTTAATAAATTTTGTACTTTTCTTTGTCTTAAAATTGGAGAACAGACGCACAGTATATATTATACATAATTTAACAGCTCCATAGTGCAGCAGCTTGATAAGTTGTGGTGCTGAAGGCTGAATGAACGCTCAATTCGCTGAATTCGAATCCATCAAATCAATTATTTTACTTGATGTCGTTTCAATATGCCGCTATGAACCTTACCGTAGTGTTTGGATTATTAAAATTCATCGTTGCGAATATGCGAATAACCGGCAAATATATTCAAATAATCGGTAAAAAATATTCAAATAATCGAATCATTAATTTTTAAATGTATTATTTGTTTAATTGAATTTTTATTTTTAAGATTCCTTATATTACATGAATCATGAATGAAACAAGTTTTTTTTTTACTTGGCAACGTAAATTTGTGTAGGCAAAAAAACTCGTATACAAGGTCGCGGTGAAAAAACCACTACGTAATTTCAATCTTATCATTTCGGGAGATTAATGTGCGTAATTTTGTGATTTTGTGTTTGTCTTCCTATTTTGTGACTTGGCTTTTTGAACTGTTTCTTCTTTATTCGTTTAAGCATGTGCCCATGTCACAAAGGATGATTAATTAGGCAAAATTAGCAGAAAAAATTAAAAGAAAAACTTTGATAGAAAAAATAGATTATGGATCACTTTGCAAGAGACATTAATATTAACTGCATTATTGAAAATCAAATGATGATTAATCCAAACAACGACAGCTCAGCTGGTTGTACTGAAAGTTATTGAATAATTTTTTTTAATCTAGTTTCAATCATAAAATTTTATAAATGTGTAACAACAAATGCAAAGAAACTGATAAAACTTGTGTTTTAAATTATCCGTTTCTTATTTATTCTGGTATTATTCAAACCAAAAAGTAGATGATTACCAACTCTAAATAATCTATATCGATTTTTTTAAGAATCGAATATTGTACGTTCCCATTTTATGGTTGGCATGCTTGGTGCAAAAAGTTTGACAGCTGTCAAAAGGTATTTCTTAGATTTGGTTGACTATAGTGTAGGGGTAACGTTTTGATTAATTTTAGATTCCTATATTACAGTGCAAACTCGATATAACGAAACTAAAGGAATTAGAGAGTAGAGTGTGAGTGTGAGCTGACCTGCTTGTCGAAGAGCGCGAGGTTGCCCTCGAAATCGAAGTCGTCGAGTAGCGCGGGGTCTGCGGCGTCGCCGAAGCACGCCTCGTTGCGGCGCCGCGCCTTCTCCTGCGCGCCGCCGCGCCCCCGCCCTCCGGGCGTCGAGCCCCCGCCACCCCCCGTACCACCCGCGCCACCCGCACCCCAGCTGCCAGCCTGGCACCCTGCAATATAAATTAAAAAATATAATAGCTTGGGAAAAAACTTTCTCTACATTTTGTTTATATAAAAGTGAAGAAAAATCTCTTTGGCTGGTTTTAATATCGATACATATAAAGCCGTGGTAGCTCAGATGGTTAACGCTCGCTGTAAATATAATAGAACGCGAGTAACCCGGGTTCGATCCCCGCCGGCACCAATGAAATTGTTAATTGCAATTTTAAGTGCTGACGTGGTATACGTCCTCGGCTGTGAAGGAAAGCATCGTAAGGAAACCTGCATGTCTGAGGAATAAGAAAAAAAATATTTCGAAGACATGTGAAGTTCGCCAACTCGCATTGGCGCATCGCGGCGGACACTTCCTTCCCCTAAAACCCTCTCAGAAATTATGTGCCCAGCAGTGGGACGTATATAGGCTATAAAAATTAAGAAAACGAAAAATAAAAAGTAAAAAAACACTTTCCCTTTTTGTTGTTTTGTCCCAAATTGCTTCTATCCACAAAAATTAGTGAATGTAATGAATAAATATAAAATTTAAAATAAAAAAGGGAAAATATGACTGAAGCCGCGAAAAAAGCTAGTGATGTATATGACCTAATCCAATGTCCGTAACAGTAGCACAAAGTTAATGCAAGCATTTTCGGTCCAGGAATTTTGATGTCAAAGATGCAGCTCGCTCTGGTTGCCCACATACGGAAAAATTCAATGCCATACTTGAAAAAGTGGAACAAGAACGGCATATTAGTAGTTACGACATAGCCGAGAAATTGAGAACTGACCACAAAACCGTTTTGAACCATTTAAGGAAGTCTGGCTATACAATAAACCTAATATTTGGGTTTGGGTACCGCACAAGCTAACTGAAAGAAACCTAAAAAATTGTGTACTCATTTGCGATTCTCTATTGAAACGTAATGAAATAGAACTATTTTTGAAAAGATTGATCACTGGTGATGAAAAGTGGATCACCTACGACAAGAACGTACGAAAAAGATAGCGTAACGCGGATTAACACGAAGTAAGATGATGCTGTGTGTATGGGGGGATTGGAAAGGCATCATTCATTATAAGCTTTTACTGACAGGCAAAACCATTGATTTGAATCTCTACTTGACAGTAGAGATACACAACTAATGAAATTCAAGCAAGAAATTGAGAAAAAACTGTCGGAATTAATCAGCAGAAAATCATCAACATCTTTGGCCACTTGGTAAAAATTGAGTGAGCTTGGTTGAGAAGTGTTAATTCATCCACCATTTAGTCCTGACCTGGCACCCTCAGATTTTCCCCTGTTTCGGTCTCTTCAGAATTCTTTGGGTTGTGTTAGGTTAATATCAAGAGACTGCGAAACTACTTTTCACACTATTTTTTATCGAAAATCCCAAGATTTTTACAGCAGCAGGATTATGTCACTATCTATAAGATGGCAGAAAGTTATCGAACAAAATGGCACATTTTTTTAATAGGATAGGTGACAAACGAGCACACAGTCCACCTGATGGTAAGTGGTTGCTGTGGCCCATAGACATCTACATCTAACCTTGATTACGAATCAAAATGCAGATGCGTTGTCATCCGTGAGGACTAAGATGGAATGCCTCGTTTCCAGCAAAAAGGGTCTCTGACACTCACCATACGAAACACAGCAGCATTAAGCTACTATTTCACGCTGGTATTCAGTATGGTAAGCGTGAAATAGCAGCATATATATTATATTAAACTTTCAAAAAATGTCTTGAATTTGCATATTAAATATGAACAAAACTTTTAATACTAATAACGATAAAAAAACAAATAGCATGATCCTTTGCTAAATAGGTTCTAGGTTTTAATTTATTGTTTCTCAAGTTAGTCATGTGATTATCTATAAGATTGAACTGCTGCATTCCAGGCTATTTGTTATTGTAGCAATAATCATCACACCATGTATGGTTTGTATGTACACTTTAGCACTGTATTACCTCTAACATGTTGTTCATATTTTTTAATGAAAATAGGATTACAGGACACTTGAGAGAATACTCATATAATTAATAGAAACACATTACAATCCATTATATAAAAGGAGTTAAATTTTAAATTCAAAATCAATTTGCTTAGATCCGCATAATTAAATAATTAATAACACAGCAGCCAGTTTCTATGCAGACAGAGATTGTACAAGATTATATTTAAAAAAAAGTCCAGTGCATCTGTACTTGTGCCCAAGTACAGATGCACTGGACATCTGAAATGACCAGAAAGATATCAAGTGCATTAAATACAATTTTTCAATCACCTGCATGATTGCTATTTTTATTTATCCTTGAACCTTGGATATCAATAGGCTTGCTTCGTGTGGGCCCCTGACCAGTACTTCTAGTAGAGGTAATACCTTTTGAAGCATTTGTTTGATTCACATTACTTGTATTTTGCTGATTATTAACTGAAAAAATGGACAATTATGCATTAAGAAAAAAACTAATATCCTATGCAATATGATACACATGATAGAGCCATGATGCAGTTATATTAGTAGTATAGTTGTAGCACGAATGGATCGGCTCTACCAGGGAAGGAACACACTCTCACAGAATACCAGCGTAAAACAGTATGGTGAGTTTAGAGATCTGGAGACCTTTTTTACTGGAAACGAGGCATTCCCTCTTAGTCCTCACAGGTGACAACGCATCTACATTTTGATTCGTAATCAAGAATACATGTAGGTGTCACAGCAACCACATACCATCAGGTGGATTGTGTGCTCATTTGTCACTTTTATTCTATAAAAAAACTATCTTTCCATCCAATTACAACGCAGGTGTCTTCAAGGCGATAATGAACAGGCTTTTGTTAAGTCAGTGTACTTCACCATCTTAGGCTACATCACCACTTACTTAGGATAGTAGTTAAGCGCCAGCTTAGAATAGTAAAATAAATTCTATCAAGTGTAAAATCACATTAAATACTAATTTTTTTTGCATTCTGTTGTTGGTTGCTCTTCTTGTTCTCTCTTATTATTGTGGATTTTGATCGACTGTCTGTGTATCCCGGACTTTGCTGCTACATTGAAGATGTCTGATTTGAAGGAACCTCAGGCATCGACAAGCCTCGAATTTAATAACGGCGAACCGCCAGTGTAACGCCATTTGTATATCGAAGAGATGCCAAGTGGAATTTGGTCACTGTGTACCAAAACTTGGCTCTCTGGAGCAAGCCATTACTTTTGCTGAGAAACAAAGCATGATCCCAGCAACAAAATTTGTAACTATCACAAAAAATTATGTGTGGAATTATCCACCAATAGAACAGTGGGCTCATTTAACGGCAGAGGCCCATGCTCATCTAAACCCAAAGTAAGCCTAGATAAAGACGCTTGGTTTGAGAATGTAAAATTAATTATGTCACAAGTATTCCATGTAATGTATGCATTTGCAAATAAATGGAGTTATGATATTATGCTAAGAGAAGATTATTCTGAAAGAGAACAGTTCAAACATTAATTATTTGTTAATTTCTGTAGGGAGATTGTTGTCATTTATGAAATAGAGAAGCGAAGTTTCCTGGGAAACATTGGCGGTCTGGGAAAATTTTTCCAAATTTATGAAAGTAAATTTGGAAAAAGTAAATATAATATACAGTTGACGAATCGGAGATGATATAGGCAAATTTTTATTATTACAAATTTAAACTAATACTTAAGACTTTTTAGGCCGACACATTGAAGATCATTGGGCTCTGGGAATCATCAAAAATTACAGTGAAGACAAGACTAGATATTTGCCCTCATAAAGTTTTGGTGCCCTTGATACAAAAGCATGTGGCTGAGTGCACCATCTTATGATGTGATAGAAAATTATGGATATATTAGCCTTTCAACTGTCCCGGCCGAAATGGTGGCTTTGGCGCATACTGTCCAACCCTAAACGAGTGATTTATTGCATGTGTGGTGTGTGTCATTAAAATGGCAATATCTTAATAATTATGAAAGGAAACTCTATAAAATAATATGTTGTTAGAATTATTGTTAAGTAAGCTAATAGAATATGTGTAAGTGTTTCGGTGTATAAAAAATTGTAAAAAAAAAACAATTACTTCAGTAAATATTTATTTTATTTACAATAAGATAAATACACTTTAAAATAATTAATAAAAAAAAACACAACTCTGCGTAATGTACGCAGTTGTTTTTTATAATTTTTACACCACAAGCTCAACAATAATGTGGGCCACTTAAGATGACCCGAAACAGGTAACTAACCCGAAACGAACACATTATGCACTTCAATAGCAACAATTCCATACCGAGATAAGTAGGTTAATGATATTAAAACAATGTTGTACGAGTTAGAGGGAGATACAGATACATTTACTACGGCTGTTTCGTGTCTGAAGTTTGTAAGTAAATTGCTTCTAAAGGTTGTGGACAGACGCATACTTTTTAATATCGACCTTTAGGTTTTGGCCAGCCGAGAGGATATATACAAAAAGTCAATCACAGTGACCCTGAAAACCATTTTGTGACAAGAAACAGTACGCACACTCAAAGAATTGAGTCTCAGTGGTGTGTTGTGAAGAGGTATTTTGCTTGTGACAATTTTATTAATAGAGAAAATTTTACCAATTTTATATACAAATATTTATGGAGAAAGTAAATTATAAACAATAAAAAAGTTTTTTTTATAGGATAGACATACGAGCACACAGTCCACCTGATGGTAAGTGCTTGCTGTGGCCTGTGGACATCTACATCTATCTTCGATTACGAATCAAAATGCAGATGCGTCGTCACCCATGAGGACTAAGATGGAATGCCTTGTTTCCAGTAAAAAGGGTCTCCGGTTCTCTGCACTCACTACATGAAACACAACAGCATTAAGCTACTATTTTACGCTGGTATTCTGAGAGTGTGGTCCTTCCCCGGTCAAGCCAACCCATTCGTGCTACAACTATTCTACTAGGTAATATAACTGCAACATGGCTCTATCACATATATATATATATATTTTTTTTTATTTTATATACATACAACATACACATTCATAACAGGATGAGCACCCTAATTCGACAGTGTAACCAGAGATACAATACCATATGCCACTCTACTGAGCTCACTCAGCGAACATGAAAACAAACCAGTTTGCTCCAATATGGCGTTGATCACACACAGCGCGCGCGTGGCACCTGCTGCATATATATATATATATATATATATATATATATACCTATATAAAATAAAAACATTATATATATATATATATCCTTTTAAGGAATTAATTGAAGTAAGGAATTATGGTTACACACAATGATTATTATATAGGGTGGGTGCACCAGTTACAAACCAATTAAGCAATATTTTGACACAAATTTTGGTGAAGTCACTCAATTATTGCAACAATCATTGCAAAACAAAATCATTTTACTTCTTATTTACCATATAATCATGTGGCTTATTCCGATTTTCTTTATAGCTATTAAGTTCATTTTTATTTAAAAATGAATGTGATAAGTCACAAAGGGGGAACAGATTGTACCAGTAACACAATTGTAAAAAAAATTATGGAAGTTTTAAACGGTTAATATTTAGGTGTGAAGATTGAAATGGTCTATTACAGGTTTCTGGTGTTGGACTGGCACATCCATCCTATTGTTGTTTTATTTCTGAATTGCTTATAACTACCCAGAAATACTTTAGCACCCAGAATTCCTTAGTTGCGATAGGTTCGAAGGCTGTAGCAGGAGCAGAGCGTAGCGCAGCTCCCTCACAGCCGTTGTGCTTTAAGCACCCAGAACAGAAAGTTGCGGAGACGATAAATGTTATTGTTTTGAGGTTAGGTCTATAAGATCCTTTTTTTCTTAAAAACATTATATTTCTTTTTCATGGGAGTGGTGTCAGGGGTAGCCTTGCCAAACTATTCTAAATTTTTGCCTAGTAAAAATGTATCAGCAACAATAAAAGTCAGAGTGTACAGATATTATAACTCCAAAATTCACCTGCACTAGTTACATTAGATGGATTGGCTTGTAAATTCTCACAGACTGTAGCACGTTGCCCTTTTTTGTTACTCTTGGTGACTGCTACTGTGCTGTGAGTTTGCTGTACTGGTTCTGGTCGTGACTCCTCTATTATTTTCAAATCTTTTATGTCAGCAGCGCTGTAAACATTACACCATTAGTAAAGTTATCAAAACATTATTCAATTCTTAAAATTTAAACTGGACAACTTACTTGAGAGTGACCTGAGATTTAGGATACGGAAATCCATTTCTGAAGGCTTTTGTAAGGGTTATAGTACTGCCATCGGTTTCCAAGATTGTCCCCTGGTAACATCCAAGTGGCTCACCACAATTAACAGAAACAGCATAACCAACCCAATTTGACATTTCCAATTTCTAATATTTATTTAATAATCGATCTAAGTTCTAGGCAAATTTCAACCTATGCATGAAACACAAAACATACGGTTAGCTAGTTATTTTCGTAGATAAACAAATATATAGTAAGCCATAGGGTATGTTACGAAATACGTACGCAGTGTACTGTCCAATGCAAATGACGTCATGAATCGTCGCTGTACTGATTCGTTCCAAAACATTGGACAGTATATGATGTCATACTTTTGCGCTATTTGGAAAAGTGTTGGCGATTATTTTGTCCTTTTGTGCTCCAAAAATCATTATATCCTCCTAATGGATATACCATCAATTATTCTATAATTTTTTGTATTTGAATAAATAGAAACAAATACTGGCATGCTTCATTCGGCAAACACACAATTAAAATTTTTTTTATTATGGCCGGATATCCGACACAATATGGCGGCGGCACGCTAGTACAATAAAGTGTCAAACTGTCAAATGATGATGTCATTTGCATTGGACAGTACACTGCGTTGTATTTCGGAACATACCCATAGTAAGCTGTACGACCACGGATGGTAATCTCAATACAAATATTCCTAGCCTTATGTCTATGGCCCTCAAAAATCGATGTTGACAGCTATTGGCTACAAATGTATAAATATGTAGCTACCACTGACCTGTATATATACAATTACGCTGGACTGGCTTTACCATACAAAATGCCTGTGCCAATTTGAAGCGCCGCTAAAGGCTGTCTTGGAAAATAAAATTGACATAATATGCCAAAGTCTGTGATATTTAAATTGTCTTATTTAATAAATCTGTATTTTGAACTTTTAAACTAAAAAAACTAAAGTATTTTATGTTGTTTGATTGTGTATAATATTAGTTACATAACAAGAATTATTTTATTTAGTTCCCGATTGAGACGAACGTCTAAAATTAATAAAAGAAAATTTTTAATTTACCTGATACTACGGCGGCGGCGTGACAAACCTATCGTAAGATGTCATGAACATTGGATTCTTCCATTTACGGCCTTGAGACCTATGAAAGGATTTTTCTACATAAAATATCAAGAGCTGCGAGAATATAATAAAAAGTTTTTTGGATATTACAGAATGACTACAAAATCATTCGATAATTTACTACGACTAGTTGGTCGGGCTATTACCTATCAAGATACGAATTGGAGAAAAGCAATTTCAGCTGAAGAGAGACTCTCGATAACTCTAAGGTAAGATGTTCCATTCTTATAGGTACTAGGTACAGCCTGCACAGCAGTGTAAGCTAAAATATATCTAAGCATTTTATAAAAGTCAATCTTATTAAAAGAAAGAGCACCTTTCTTTTGATTGTTTCTTCGAAACCATTGAAAGTGCACCCTAATTTCTTTGAGCTCAGTTTGATTTTTATCAGATGCTTAGATGTATTTAATGCATCTCTGTCATTTTGGTGCTGATAATACCATTTATTTTAAATTTTCACGTTCTCTTAATTTATCCCCCCCCAGCCCCCCCTCCCATTTGATATTGTAACATTCCAAAGTATATTTAATAACTGACGGAGGTAAATAAAAACAAGGTTTAATCATACAGCATCATTTATTTATAAGCAATGTAACTTTTATTTAAATAAAATATAATCTTTCATGTCAAAACCACTCCCCTCTACTACGAATGTAGAATGATTAAATGAAGTATTTGGAAAATTTGACAGCGAGTATTGGGATTGAGGAGACGGACCAGGCGGAGATTGAGGAATGACAGTTGAATTACGAGATGGTGTGTATTGGGTTTGAGGAGACGGATCAGGCGGAGATTGAGGAATGACAGTTGAATTACGAGATGGTGTGTATTGGGTTTGAGGAGACGGATCAGGCGGAGATTGAGGAATGACAGTTGAATTACTAGATGGTGTGTATTGGGTTTGAGGAGACAGATCAGGCGGAGATTGAGGAATGACAGTTGAATTACGAGATGGTGTGTATTGGGTTTGAGGAGACGGATCAGGCGGAGTTTGAGGTATGACAGTTGGATTACGAGATGGTGTGTATTGGGTTTGAGGAGACGGATCAGGTGGAGATTGTGGAATGACAGTTGAATTACGAGATGGTGTGTATTGTGTTTGAGGAGACGGATCAGGCGGAGATTGAGGAAAAGATGGTGGGTATTGGTAAATTTGGGGAGAAGGAGATTGACGGATAGTATTTGGGTAGGGTGAGGGCATATTTGGGATGTAAGATAAATACGATGATGATGATGATTGATATTGAAACATAGCGGATCTGACTCTAGGCGGTATAAAATTTTGTGGTGAATATTTAGTTGCTCTGTTAAGTACATTCAGAATTTCAATTTTCGCGTAATGTTTCTGGTCTGTTGAGAGATTCTTGAGCATTGGTATGATCATTTCACAAAATGAAACATCCTCATCATAAGTTTTATCCTGTAATAATTTCAATAACTCATCATCGCTATTATTCTGAATTTTAGTCTTTTTACGCATGCTCGTTTTAAATCTTCTATTTCGTGAAGCTTCTGTGTCAGTATCTTCGTTGGATTGATTTGTAAGGTCTTCGGCATTACTGTTAGTGCTTTCTGTGTCTTTAATATTATTTGTCGTATCTCTCATTTATTTTTGAGTGGCTAATAATGAAAGTGCTCCCGTGTGTATGTATGGTTCTTTTTTTCTTTGCGGCTTGATACCCGAAACTACCTTTTTATCAGCTGCCACCTCCTTGAAGTATGTATCTTTAAGATTTTTCCATTTTTTTTGCATATCAGCTCCTGTAAAAGAAAATAAAATAAGGTAATTGTTGTGTAGATAAATAATAAACTATAACTTGTTTGAATTTTATATTATTGGTGTTACATATTTTGTTGTAATTATTGCAGGTACTTGGCTTCAGGAAATAGCTACTATTCGCTATATTATGAATATCTAATTGGTATCTCTACAATTGGTGAAATTATGGAAGACACGTGTGAAAGACTGGTCTTATTTACAATCTTTATACATGCCAGAACCAGATGAAAGAACTTGGTCCCATACTGCCGAACTTTTCTATAAAAGAACCCATTTTCCACATTGCTTGGGAGCGGTGGATGGAAAGCATATAAGGTGCGAAAAGCCTAATGGCGCGGGTTCTGAATTTTATAATTATAAACAATATCATTCCTTAGTTTTAATGGCGGTGGCTGATGCAAATTATTATTTCATCAGTGTTGACATAGGTGCTTACGGCAGCAGTAGTGACTCTACCGTTTTTAAAAATTCTGCATTTGGAAAGAAGCTTGAAGGTGGTCAGTTAATACTTCCATCACCAACTTACCTACCAAAAGATGAAAATGGGGAAAAATGCCTTATGTTTTCGTTGGAGATGAAGCGTTCGCTCTCTCAGAACACATAATGCGACCATACCCCAGAAGAAACCTATCTGTAACTCAAAGAGTTTTTAATTACAGACTCACACTAGCAAGAAGATTTGTAGAATGCACTTTTGGCATACTTACTAATAAATGGAGAATTTTACATCGGGCTTTAGATTTAAAACTAACAACTTGTGATCAAATAATTAAAGCATGTTGCATTTTACATAATTACGTACGCAAACATGATGGAATTTGGTTTAAGGACAAATTGTATGGGACCGAGTTACAAAGTTTGCGCCCTACTCCTGTGAGATCTAGAATATCCAGCATTGAAAATAGACAATATTTTGCAGAATATTTTGATTCACCGAAAGGGTCAATTCCATGGCAATATGAAAAAATATAAAATATAAACGTCTACCCATATTATAGGTATATCGTCGCTTTGGTAGTGAAGAGAGTCAACCCACACATATCAAGTTCCGAAATAATGAGCAATTAAGTGGCGAGGTTAAACAAAAAATATATATTAGTCTATACCTTCTAAACCGTAAGTTAGATTTTAATAAAAATGGCATTGGTTTAGCTAAACATGCTTCTTGTGTTTTTGGTATATTTATAGTTTTTGTAATTTAACTAGTTTTTCTGTTAATCGCTATTTTGTACTTGGCTCTTTTCACCATTTAGATATTTTGAAAATGATCTACTAATAAATAGGGAGGTGAAAAGATGTAAGTGTTATAGATCTACTAATTTATTCAAATACTTGTTAGCAGCAGGGTTGGTTGGTAGTTGGTAGACAAAAAGAAAAGAATAATAGGGTTATTTTAAATATTGGTATAGTTAAATAATAAAATTAGTAATTATTTGTTAAAAATCTTCATTAAAAAAATCAATAATCTTCTATAATATCAACATCCTGACTTGAAGCAATAAGATTCATGTAAAATTCATGATAAGAGGTAGGAATTGTACCTTTTTTACAAAGATCTTGTAAGTCTTTAAGTTTTTTGGTATCTATTTTTAAGCTACACTTATAAAGATTAGCTACTTCAGTGGCAAGTATTTCTCTCTCATACATAGTCGTTCAAATTCAATTTGGCTTAACTTCACGTCTATATTGCAGCCATTTAACAAGAAGCCATTTCATGATGCCACTCTCTCCTTTATTTTTATTTGTAATTTTTTTTAAAAGAATATTAACAATGCATTTAATACATTACTAATATTCCCCTTAACCACTCGTATTAAGCTTAAATTGCTTGTGTTACGAGTGGATCACGCCAGTAGTCGAATGGCGGATTCGAACCCACGACCTTTTTGAGTTCGCGGTCCGCGCCCTGCCATTAGGCTACTGTCAACTACTACTGGCTTTACGACTTAAAATCAAGAAATTAGCTAAAATTCATCTCCTTTACGATATATGATGGTCGAGTGGTCTTCGCTGTTCTTGCTAAAGTCTACCATCCATCTAAGACAAAAATATCAAACTTTGTACCCCATTATTCAATGGCAGATTGAACACTCACATTTCATTTCGGAATATCCAGACTCCATGTACTTTTGGTTGATAATCTTCAGATTTGGAAATGAAGAGAGTGCTCTAATGTACGTAGCAGAAATGATATGGTTTTTGTTTTGTCCTAAAGCAGTATCAGAGTAAAATATTACTTCTGTCACCTCTGGTGGTAGTTCAGAAAGGAGTTTCCAAATACATGTGGCTCAAATGCTCAGTGGCTCTCAGATGCTCCTTTTGTACCACTGGTTTCATGCTATATGTAGTTAATTGCGGTGCCTTAAGCAGGGTCATAACTGGTAAAATTATGTTTTTAATTTCTTTTATAATACAATTGACTAATCTCTAACTGTAGGGTAAGGAAGATTTTTTTTAAATCCATAGTGTAAGCACAAAACGTTGGAGCAGTCTTACCTCTCGCCTTGTCTTCTCTTTTCTGTTCTCTAGTTTCTGTTTTTCTTATTAAATGTAAGTCGTAATTACTTCGTTCTTGGAGTTTCTCTTCTGGTGATTTGTTTTAAATTGAGCGCAATAATCACAATGGTCTTTTTTGGCCTATGGAATCCATAATTGAACTCAGTAGTAAAAATATGTTTATAATAATAAGATGATACAGGTAATGGTCCGTTCTCTTCACAATATTTAATATAGTCTTGATACAAGCGATTTTCAGTCAGGCCAGATGGCAGATATTTCCACTTAGATGAACTTCGGCAGTAGTGAGAGTCTACTACAGGTTAGGACTTGATGTGATCACGAATAATATTCTTTTGTTCTTCAGAAATTTTATTTGATGCAGGGTTCAATCAAAAATGTCAAAGTATAAACATGAGTATAATTTCTCTTATCAGGAACATCAGCTGCCACTGAACTAGAGAACTAGAGCCTTTCGACTTGTAACTTCTTTTTGGTAGCTCTTTACTGACTGAGCGGTTTATAAAAGCCCATTTGGCTCTATCAAGATGATAGAGCCAAATGGGCTTTAAAGTCAAAAAACCCTAAAAAATGTTCTATCATTCAAAGTAAATGTATCATTGCATTTGTAATGACACCTACAGGGAAATTCCTTAACAGCTTTTTCTCTCACCTTTTTTACCTGACTGAGAAACATGTTCTTTACTTTCAAGTCTCAGTTTTTTTTATTTCGTGGCTCTGCTACGGGGTTATCATATGGGGAAATAGCACAGACGTTTCTGATCTTTTAACCCTACAAAAAAAACTAATACGAATAATATTTAATACACAAAATACTGATAGCTGCAAACCATATTTCGTCAAACATAAAATACTTACCGTACCGTGCATTTATATCTTGGAAATCTGCAAATTCATTAAAAAGTACCCAGAATTTTAAATCAAACGAGGTGAAAGTAATACCAGATACCAATTACACCATAACGAAAAACAGACTATACTCATATCTTGTCTTAAACTACATTCATCAGATCCCTTTGTCATGTCCATCACAATTGTTAACAAACTCCCAAACTCGATAAATAAATGGAAAAACTCACTAATTTTATAAATAAACTAGTAAAGGAATTTTTAATTTGTAAACACATTGTAAACACACAAACACACAACAGCAAATTTTAAATGCCTACCTAGAATACCTACAGTTGCTATATTATATAGTGTATTCATCATTATTGTTTCATTAAAACGGCCCTCCTCTACCGTGCCCTGCAGGGCCCATAATGATCTCGTAGTTTTAAGTAAAAACTTAAAATGTTTTCAACACATTAACTGCAAAATTATGGATGCAATAAATAATATGAATATGAATGTTTTTAAATTTCCATCATTTTGTACACGAGAAATACGTGTTGTACTACATATTTTTTATAATAACAGTAAAACACACACATTATGCAAAATAACCAAATAAATAAATATGAATCTCAATAAGATCACGACAGATGTCAAGCCATACAAAATAGCGCTTTTAAATGCAGGGATACATTGAGTTCGTTCAAAAACTAGTGATATAAGCAGCTTGACTTTCTTCACTACTGATTACAACCACTGTCCTATTTCCAGAAGTTAACTAAGCTATGCGGATTGTATTCCTCTTTATACCATAAAGAAATGTGTGGTATTTCTGTTAACATCTTTTCACCTTTTTGATTATTTTTTTTACCTTAACTACAGTCAGTTCGCTCTATTCACCACTGTAAAAATCACATTGTTTTGATTCGAATAGTATACTTATTTCACTTTGTACAAAGTTGTGGCTTGGCTCTCTTCACCACCAAAGCGACGATATATTCTATATAAAACTACAGACCAACAAAAAATCTTTGATTATATACATGTCTAGATGGACACATTGACCGTACCGAACGGCTCGAAAAAAGTCTACTATAATTATTGATAGACTCGCTTCTCACCTACGCCAGTGTCATTTGAGTCACCTATGGATAATAAGCTCACGAAAAATAATTAATTATGCCGGTTTGTGCTATCAAATTGTATCGCAATTACGTGGGAAGTAAAGAAGTAAATTATATTATTTAACTACTTTATTTTAAGAAAACACAGTTTTTTAATTCGTTACTGTTTAGGTTAGTCTGATTAGCTTGTGTTGCCAGTTTAATATTAGGGAAACTTAGCGAAACTATGGGAGACACATTATAAATATCATTACATCTTTTTGTAATTTTTAAACATTTTGTTAATGAATAAAAATATTTTATTTTAATATTTATTTATTTATCTTTGTAAATCATAAAAAGATGCAGTAG